TGAATTTCCTTCTTCTCGCGAATCATTATTGGATCCCCCGGATCCATCATCCCACTCTGAATCCACTTCCATCGGATCATCATCGTCTTCGTCCAGGGACCTCACCCATACACTCACGGATACAAACCCCTCACCGCTCTCCCTCCTCTCGCCGCCATCTGGCTCGCCCTCGCTGCCGGCGATACTAATGTCTTCCTCCTCCGCCGGCATGGCATATCGGCAGATTGGGCAAGACCCGTGAATCCCTAACCACTTCTCAATACACCCAGAGTGAAATTTATGCTTGCACGGCATTTCCCTAGCTTCGCCCCCCACTTCGTAAGCTTCCAAGCAGATCGAACAATCCGTGCCTTCTTCGGTCACCACCACTCTGGGCATGGCCTGAATCGAATCCTTGGACGCCGGCAACACCCCGGGCTTCACCGATAGGCCTTGAAGCACGGATTGGAGATCTCCGGAGCCTTCGATCACGATCATGGCTCCAGCTGAAGGGTCAACTACGATGATCCGTACTCGGCCACGGTGGCTACCAGGATCAAGTTCTGGGGCCTGGCGAGGGGGCGCTAAACTGAGAAGCAGAGGGGAGAAGCATAGACAATCTTCGAATTTGGGGATCGTCCAGTTGCAGTGGAGGCGCAGATGATGAATTGGGGGAGGTGGCATCGGAATCAGAGGACATGTTTCGTCGGCACAGAGAGGGGGGGAGGGGGGGGAGCTGCGCTTGCACACAGTGTTGAATTTGAAAAATTTTTGGAAGAAGAATGAAAGGAAACTGCAAGCTAATGGAAAAGAATAGGTCGGCCATTACGTCGTCTCGGAGGGATCAAGAACGTTTTCGGAGAAACTTGTCCATTATGTCAGAAACAGAAACCTTTTCTCGGTTGATTTGAAGATACGGGAGTACGACCCTTTTTTTTTTTTCCACCACTGTAAATTTTTTTGTCTTGTTATTGGATGTATCAAAAAATATTTTTGAGTGTTGGACACATTTAAAAAAATTATTTTGAGATACTGGATACGCTACAAAATGTTTTTAAGGTATCGGATACATCTTGAAAAAATATATTTAAGGTACTGGATCCATCATAAATATATTAAGATGCTGGATGTAATTGATAAAATATTTTAGTGTATTGGATGTACCTTAACTCTTTAAAATAATATATCTTAGATTTAAGTGTACATAAAAAATATTAAGATTTGAAGATTCTTTAAAATACAAATTTATGCTGAAATTTAAAATCATAGCATTAAAATAATAACATTAATTGTTATCATTTTTAATAATAGGAAACAATGTTGATTCTAAACTTTTGGGAAATTTACACTAAAAAAGAATTCCAAGGCCAGCACTTTTATGTAAAAATTTTTAGAATAAATTTACATCTTAACTAAATAACTTCACGTTTCTTAATATACTTCATTAAGCATGGCATTTATAATTTTGGATTAAAATTTACGAACATCCTGAAAATTTTTTTTGAGTGTGTTCAACGTCTTGAAATATTTATAAGTCATTCAGCACTTTAAAGTTTAAAGTATATTTTAAGTGTATCTAGTAACTTAATATTCAAATACAAAATTGCATCACAAGTATTTTAGAATGTTGAATACCTTTAAAAAAATTTTTAAAATATTTAATACACTTGAAAAAATAGTCATGCTGTTAGATGAATCCTAACATTATAATTTTATTCTGAAGGATAATTATCCATTTAAAAATATTTTTAATGTAATTTTTATTAGGATTTCAAATGTAAGTTTTCTTTATCACATAGATTGCTGCTATATATATATATAATATATATATATATAATGAGCGTGTGCGCCACACAACATATAGATGTATATATATCCCAAGAATGATTGGGGCTTGATCGTCTGGCAATAACCAAAAGCTTAAATAGTTAAAATTGGAAGAGTTTTAATCGGCACTCTATAACCTTCGTGGAAAGTCGTGGCGTCAATAGTTATTTTCAGTTCGGATGTCCAAATCCCCTCGTCCGTCCAACAAACATGTGGTGAAGTATTTTTTTTTTTTTCCTTTTAAAATTAGTGATTCTTAATTTTTTTATTGTCTGAAAATTTGGTAAAATTATGCTAAATTTATTTATTTTTCTTAAAAGACCGGTAATTATTCACTGATGAAACAAAAAGACTGATTCTTAAACAAATGCATGCCCTTTGCTGGGTTACATCACATGCTAGCACCACCTAGTGGGGTGAATTTTTTTTCCCATTAAAGACATGGGGGGGTTTTTCTTTTTTTGGCCAAATTAACCACATGGGGTTTATTTATTAGACGAGATGGATTCAAACAAAAAACCCCGCGGCTTGGCTAAGCAGATTCGATATGATTTAAGAACTTGACGGGGAGGATAGGAAATAGCTCCTCAATTTCATTCAAGCATAACGAATGATTTTTTCAAAGAAATTGAGCTTTGTCTATATGTAATGAATTGAAAGTAGAGAAGCTCCATCGATAATTCTTACAAAAATAAGAATATATGAAATGTGGGTGGATGCATATTCAATTTCAGCCGTGCAAATTGAAAGGTAGAGGCTTTGCTGCTTAACGCGGCCCCTACCGACAACCAAAGCAATCGACAGTTGAGGAGCATCTTCCTGGGCAAGACTACCGTAAAACAACTCAGCCTCTTTTATTCGTTTGTTTTACCGTTTCCTTTCTTTTTAATGTCCTCCTCTGTCCTCACGGATACATGAAACAGTCTCTGTTTTCTTAAGACAACGTACAAGTGTCCTTTTTCCCCTTTTTAAATATATATATATTTTTTTTTCAAAAACAAAAGCCGCTCTTATTTTCTTTTCTGTATGTGCGTATGTATATCTATTAACTGAATTATATTACAAATATCTTTGCTTTTCTCAGCCGCGGTCGCGGAAATCAACCCGGACGCGGAGAAGACGATGAACTGAAATTAGAGAGAGAGAGAGGGGGAGAGAGAGAGATCAGATACAGTCTGGCTCCCTCCGAAGCAGCTTGCTTGAATTTCAGCGCAGGGTTTGTTTCTCGCTGTATCTTCTTCATCCCTGCTGCTAGCTCCGACTGCTTCGCAGGCGAGTTGATCCATGGATCCATTGGCTTCCGCCGGATCGACATCTTTGACATATATCGTCGATACCGTGGTAAGCTTCTTTTTCAAATACTTCCCTACGATTTCATCATTTTTCATCGTTTTCTCGCTCCCGGAAAATTATGGAATTGGGTTCTTTATCGTGCTGGCTGCTCTATTTTCCATTCAGACTCAAACACGTATTGGTTTTGTTTCCATAATTGATTCTGAACTCCATGTTTAGTTTCCTGGCTGTTATGAAAGACACGTCTTTTCTTTTTCTTTTTTCTTATTCGCTTACCATTCATTTGCAACACCGCGTTTAGCGCAATTCGCGGGCATCTTTGATGTAAGGGTCTAAGAACAGAGTATTTTGCTATGGCACATGCAACTGGAGATGTTTCCTCTGTAAATGAATTCTGTCTTCTAAAAGAAATCTTAAATGCTGAAGGCTTTATTTTTTTTAAGTGCAATTTGAAAGTAAAGTATTATCTTTTTATATTGCCGAGCTGAATTGGGTCCGAGACCTAGAGAAAGGAGGCGCCTGGTGCTTGTGGTCGTTGTGATATTTGAGCATCTTCTGCAGACATTAGAACTGGAAATACGCCTCTTCATGCGGAAGAGGGCTAAGGCAAGACAGTGACCTTCAGAAGGCTAGACACTCGAGGGAGGCGTTGGCACGGCTCTTGAAATTAGCAGAGTCCAGAGTTCGTATGGGGTATGGATGTGTTCTTTTGTGCAGATGTTTGGAAACTTCAATCTTTCTCTAGGAATTGATATTAAAATCATGCACGAGAGTTTTAACTGACTTGAATAACTATCTGCTTCTAACTGTCCATTTCTTTGTCCATCCATTCTAACTGTCCATTTCTTTGTCCATCCATTCCCTGTCCTTCTTTTCATGATGCATAACTTGCAGATGTTGGCTAGTTGGTGGAATGTATTCTTATTTCTGTTTGTGTTTCCTAAGATTTGGAATCCTATTACTGAAATTGTACCTTATTGTTTTTTATAAGTTCGTTAATAGTTTATAATCAAGGTAGGGCATGAGAGATTTTTCAGTGATTCTCTGACAAAAGGGAAAGAAACTTTTATCTTGGCAACTTACCTTCTTTAATGAGAAGTTAAATGCCAACGGTGCCATCAAGACGCTAGATTTTTAAAACCCTGCATTCAAATGCTGCTAGAAAGGCGCTTGCTTGGATAAATCAAAGTGCTTAAGTAAGAACCAATGTGATATAAGAACACAAGAAAAGCAACTTGAAATAACCCTGATGTTAACCTGTTGTTTACTTTCTCCAGCAAACTAGAACTAGGACAGAAATATGGGTTTTTCAGAAGGGTATTAAGCTATGACTAATTAATAAGAATCTGTAGAAATTCCCCTACAATCGTTTAGTCTGATTTCAAATTTGATTCTGTACCTAGACAGCTTATCAATCATGCTTTTTTAGTAAACATTCTTTCACTAGCCAGTTGTACCCCCTTGTTCTTTCTTCTTGCCTTAATTGCTTACCAAATTAACTCACTCAATCATTCTTGATTATCCACAGCCAGACTATGGAGCATGGTTTTCTTGTATGCCAATCTTCATTGATTATGTATCTTTTTCTTATCATATTAGTTATGCTTCTGGTACTGGTGTGTGGTTGGGATGAAGACGTCAACTCAATCCTGTCAGTTTTTGGTCTATGATTCTCCAGTGTAATCCTAGTTGAACTTGTGCTTCTATGTTAATGAATTTGTTTATCTGGTCAAGGTAGTTGTCATGTTCTTGTGCATGTCTTTCAGCTGTATGATTTTTATGACCGTGATAAATATAAGAATATATTATATGAACTTACCAAAAATTGCATTATATAGGAGCTTTTCTTTTCTACTTCTAACTATCTTGAAACACTATACTTGCCAGGGTAACATTTTTGATGAACTCTTAGTGCTTATGGCAAGGCTTGACTTGACGGTAAGGTTTATCATGAGTTTATTCAACTTCATTTTTCAGATACTTTGCTCGTTTAGATAGTGTTTATTCTCTTTCTAGAAGCATGGTCACTACACTGCTGTGTCCTATATGTCATTTGTAGTTTAAAATTAGTTTTTTTAGGATAAAAGAAAGGGGACATGCATCCCAATATTCTCTGCAGTCTTTCTGAATTTCATTGGTAGAAACACTTGTAACAGTATTCTCTGCAAGACACGAAAGCATAGCCAAATGAACAGTTCTATCCCACAGAGGCTTTAACGTTTAAAACCTTCCTATAATGCTTCTGGCGTTCCTTCTAAGTACTATGATTACAGAAGCATGGTACATCTTCACATGATTTTACCCTTCTTACTACCAATGACTAAACATAAATGGCAGTCATTAACAGAGCTTCAGGCATGGAATGCATACTTACCTCTCTCTAGAAAACAAAATCGGCAAACATTATAAAAAAGATGGGTGATAAAACAGTTGGACGTCAATGAATTTTTTAAAATGATGTAAATATACGGAATAATGCTTTATGAGAGTCCAGTTTAGCTGCAAAGTTCTATGGAGTTATATGTGACCAAACTAAATCTTTAGTGTTTGAACTAAGATCCTTTAAACTTCAAATTAACATATTAAGGTGATAGCAATGAGGACCAGGATAATGCATAGACTATTTTTCTTTTCCGCCTGAAGTATGGACTATTGAACTACTTATCTAATCTCTATGGAAAATGTCCTAATTTATGAAGTAGGAAGATACCCTGAACTAATAAAGAATTATAACAAGATTAGTATAGTGGCCTCTCTGCCACTGCCACTAAAACTTTTGGAAACTAGAAATGGTGAAATTTTAAAGTTTGTGCTTTCTTTGCTTGCTTCATAAATAAAGAGAAAAAGCAGGATACAAGAAGCTCTCTTTCATTTTCTTCTGGTTTTTTTTTGATAACTTCACTTCGCTAATTCAAATATGGGCTCTGTAGGTGGATTTTTCGGAATTCTCTTGCTTCTATGATTTTGTTTTCTTCATGTGTCGAGAAAATGGTCAAAAGAATATTAGTAAGTGTTCAAGTTTATTTAGTTCCACTCAACGTTTTTGTTAGTTTCACAAATTCATGAATCATTAAATCTTATCAGCTGGTTATTGCATTTGTGTCTTTTCTTTTTCTTTCTTTATTTTTTTTTTTAACTTCATAATTGACAGCTGTAGGCAGTGCAATAACTGCTTGGAAATTGGTTCTAGCTGGGCGGTTTCCACTACTTAGCCATGGTGTTGATTTTGTTGAGGTACAGCAATGGTTATATGCTAAAAATTGATGTGTTCCACATGTGTCTACTTAGATATGATGTATTAGACTTGTTTCTTCTACCATATCTAAAATGTTCCTTGATTTTTTTTTTAATTCTCTTTTTGGTTATGTAAAAGTAATATCAGTAAGGAAAAACTTTTGGTTGTTTCTCTTTTAATGTGAGGCGTATAAATTGCACCTGACAATTTTCTTGTAGAAAAGTAGTTAGACTGCATGTTGCTATCTCAAATCCATATCACTTTGGTAATACGTCTTTTGTTTAAATTCATAGACCCTATATAATTGGTTGAACAACCATTCTGCTGGTGTCTTTAGCATCCTTACGATTGCTGTCTTTGAAAGGTTGAGGTTTAAAGGGTACTATTCCCAAACATCAGAATGCTTTTGTGGCGGGAAAGAAAATTGTAGACATGGCTTTGTTGGCCTATGAAGCTTAAATGGTAATAAACACCGGGAGCAAATGTGGCTGTCTTTATTCAAGACTTTTGCATACCAAATTTAATGTTTATAGAATATTATGTCTTTACTGTTATACTTGATGTACTATCTTTTTTCAATGACCAATTTGTGGCGAAGAATATGGCTGTGGTATTTAGCTTTTCATTTGAAGGAACTGATCTATTGAATCCTATTTAGAAAAATCAACGGTACAACACATCTCTGAGGATACCTGGCAACAAGTGCTAGCTTCAGCTTGTGTACACATGAAAATCTGGAAGGGTATGATCCTGAAGGTATTGTTATGATGTGCCTTATTACATCTAGCTTTGCATTCAGATTTGCGTGCACTTGCACTGCTCTTTCTGTGCAATATGTTTTCATTTTGTGACAATACTTGCATGGCTTATTAGTTCCCTTTTGCTTTTAACGGTGAATAATGTGTATGCTAATCTTTGTCTTATCCGCTTCATGACATCAAATAAATGCAGACGTTGGCTAGATCGTGCAACTCTCTTCTTGTTCTATACTGACATGTTATGTTGATCACTAGTAAACGATCATTTCTTTTCCTTTCTTACAGTGCATGGCCCGTTCTAATAGATGATTTTGTTGACCATATGTACAGGTTTGAATTTTCTTTTTGGTCCAAGGAAATCATTAAATGCTTGTGATTTATTATTATTGACTTTGTAAAGCGAATTTGTGTCTGATAAATTCTGTTATTTAGTTAGGAAAATGGTATTGTTCTAAATTCTCACATCAATTTTTTTTCTTTTTTTCCATTTTTTGAAATAACCATTATATTATAAATATATCGTAATGCAGGTCCTCAGGATCATCTCATTATAATTCCAACTTACAATGTAGCTGCGGTGATCCCGATTCACAATTATGTATTTTTGAAGACTTGGTTCCTGGTAGGTTGAATGAACTTACGTTATTTCTGATCTTATGAATTCGAGTCTTGGTGGAACACAACCCATATCTGAATATTGTTTTCGTACAGGAATGAAGAATTTATCTGGTTTAAAGAGGAAGGTACTGCATGACACGGGGAAAGATGATATGGAGGCCATATATACTCCCATCTCTGATGCTGCTGACTTGAGTCCCTCAAAAAGAAGTAGAGGGAATACTCAAAATGCTATAGAGGATTGTAATGGAATTGCTAGAAACAATAGCCCGTTGTGTTCATCTAAATCGCCATGTGCAGTTGAGCGCTGTCTGTCAAAGGGCTTTGCAGGACTTCTCTCAACGCGTTCCTTTGTGTAGTCTGGTCGGGAAAGGAGGGCGTCCTTTATATGAAGCACAATTGTGGTTGAGGTATATAAAATATTCGTACGCGAAATGGTATAAGTTGATTTCCCCCTTCCCCTTGTGAAAATCGGTTATTATGTTTGGATTGTAATAGTGTAGCATGTAGCTGGTGAGTGTTTAGCTGGCCATTTGTTCTCATTGATGAAATCAATAAAAAGCTTTTACTTAGTTCTTTTCAAGTCTTTTATTCAAATACATTTTAATGCTCCTCGAGTTCTAAATATAAGATTTATTTTATAATGTAATTTATACTACAAAATGGGTCTTATATTATACTACAAATTGGTCTTATATTCATGAGTAGAGGATTATATCCGTTGCTCTAAGAAGTTATGTCAAATCCTCTATAGTCAAGACTTGTATACTCTATTCAATCTATCCTATTAAAATTCATATGCCCTTGTGCACAAAAACTCAGAGTTATTTAGTAATTTAAGAGAGAATATATCTGATAACTGCTAATGCAGCGGTGGTATATAGCATTGTTTCCTGAGTTTTGTTGAACTATAATCTGATCAGTTAGAAAGTATTTGAAGCCTCACCCTCGTCTTAAGAAATGCGTATCCACTAGCTATCCACAGATTCTACATTATATGGATTTGAGAGTGACTGACAAATGCGCACAGGTGCACTTGCGTGCGTGAAGTGCAATGTGAAGTGTAGGAAAGAGGTTCATTCGATTTGATTGTATTCTCGAGGACGATGGAGCTGCATGCAATGCGAAGGATTAGACAACTTGGAATTGCCTCAAAAATGAGGGATCCGTGGTTGAAGAATTGAACGGCTATACTTTCGATTGTTCGTATTTTATCACTTATGATTATGATTGCAGTATAATCCTTGAAGCACAGAACAGTTGATACGGCGTCGTGTACTATAGACCCTTGTGAGAAGTTGGGCTATTGTATAATGCTGTGGCGTGTCATTGTTTTTAATGTCACGTGATTAGCGTGAGATTCCTCTTTAAATTCAGCTAATCCACCAAAGCTGCTGTCGTACCCTGCTATCAGGGCATCCCCTTCTGTAGTTTGATGAGAAAATACCTTTTAGGCTTTCAGACGAGGTCTTGCCGTTTTTTTTTTCAGGGTGAGGGGGGCGTGGTTGGAGGCCAAACTGGAGTCTCAAAAGTGATTAAAGTGATTGATGACCCGCATCACTTTAAACTCCCACAATATGACCCCAAAGTCGAAGATGACTAAAGAGATAACACAGCGAAAAATGAACTTGATGAAATCACTAAAAAGTGTCGTGACGAGGTATAAACGGAGACCTGTGTTTCATTATGAGTTACAGCAGAAAATTTTGGCGTTCGGGAATGGCATCCTGAAGGCTGTAACGGCAACTGATTGGAGAAATTCTTCAGACGTATTTACCTCGAAACTTGTCAGTTAAACTAATTTGACAGAATCGCAACCCTAAAACCACTCAAGCATGATTGGACTCCTCATTGATTACTTGCCAAGACGAAGGATGCAAAGATTACAATTAGTGAACACAGACGCTGAAGCTGAAGGTTCACCATTGGTATTTGGCAGCAACAGCGACATCCTCATACTGCTGAGCGCAGTTGTTGTCCCAACTAAGATCCTGGATCATGCCCCGTCTCTGAAGTCCTTCCCAGCTCTTTTTGTACTCCCTGTAGGTCAACAGGCAGTTCCCTAATGCATTTATCAACTTGTTTGTTTCTGCTCTATCAAATGTCCATCCAAGGCCTGTCTCATTAAATGGATCAAAAGGCTGCACAGTATCTCTCAGTCCACCAACAGCATGCACGACAGGAACTGTTCCGTAATTCATAGCATATAGTTGGTTCAAAACCGCATGGCTCAAATCTCGAAGGCATGAGCAATATGTCTGCACCTGCAGTTATCCTGTGAGCCATCTTCACGGAAAAGCCAACCCATCCCCTAACTTTGTCATGATGCTGGGATTCGAATTGCCTAAGCATTTGTTCTAGGTCAGGCCTCCCAGTGCCCAACATGATCAATTGAACATTCTGGCCCACCATCCAGTGGACTGCTTCAGCTATGAGATCAACCCCTTTCTGGTGATCTAATCTGCCAATGAAGCAAATTACTGGGATGTCCTCACGAACAGGCAAACCAAGCTCCTTTTGCAAGGCGGCTTTGCACTGAGGCTTGCCTGTCTGGAACGTCTCGATGGAGTAGTTGGTGTAGCCATCAGATTTCAAATGAACATCGAACTGAGGATTCCAATCTTTGTTATCAATTCCATTCACTATGCCTCTCAACTTCCAGTCATTCTCATTTATTATATCATGCAAACCCCAGCCACCTCAGAAGTTTTAAGCTCCCATGCATATCCATGACTAACAGTAACCACACGGTCAGCACTCTTTAAACCAGCTGCAAAGATATTGAAGTGATCACCACCAACGGGATCGTACAATTTAAAGAGGTCTATGTAGTGTTCAGGTAAATCCACATACGAGAAATCATCAACTGGACCCCGACCCTGCATAGAAAGTAACTGTGTGAATACTCCTTTACAATAAAGAGAATGCCATTAAAACTCTTTGATTAATGAGAATTATAAATCAGCTTCAGTCTGGCTCCACTCACGAGCATTACGATAAATTAGATTCTTCAGATAAGTAAAATTGTTTGATTTCTTCTAAAGATTGCAGCAATAAGGGCAGAGCCTTTATTTTGATCGTTACCTACGAAGGTTTGAGAAAGCTATTCTAGCATCCACTTTCAATAGCATAATGATGCTAAAGATACTCAGGATGATTATTAGGTGCTTTTGTCTCGGTGCAAAATGAAAAACTATTATAGCAAGGACATTGCATAGTCAATGCTCAATTATGGGGCCTTCATGATGAAGCGATACATTCAAATATTTGGCAATTCTCTCCAGTCAATCACAACATTTTTAATCACAGAATATTTATAAGATTTGAGGTTAGGGTAAAGTTTTTCTCCAAGTGTAAAAATCATTTCTATCTATTTTCTTTTGCCAGAATAATCAATTTTATTCTGCTTGTTTGATATTCCAGATTTTGGGAATTTATGATTGAGTGGTAGATCTGTTGCAATTTCTCCCTTCATGTACCTATGCTCTCCACCGAAAATAGGCAAACAATTAGAGAACAGTCAACTCCTATTTTCTTCATGAACTATCTATCTATCCATTTTTTAACTGCCATGATTTATGCTAAGGAAGTTCGCAACATATACTTTGCTGCGAAGATAAATAATATAAACCTCCACATGTATTGAATCACCAAGCAAGTCTTTCTAGTTCAATTAAACAAGTACACCAGCTGTGCTGGATAAAAATTGTGTAAAACTCTAGTTGCGTCCTTCACTGTATAGAATGAACAAACGCAATAGTAAAATCATTAATAGGACAGAGAGGTCACCTGGTGGGCTATGTTATGAATCACAAGTACAGATCTTGTATACTTCATCAAACCATGGTCACGATAACATGCCTTCAGATAAACTGGCAGCAACGCAGTATGCCAATCATTTGCTATGAAGACCAAATTTCCATCTCCATAGCAATACCACCACCATGGAACATACCAAGGAACCTGAAAATTGTTTATTTTTGTTACTCTACTCATCCATATGAATAGTCGACTAATATATACTTTGATAAGAAATTATCTGATATGAGCTTTGGCTTTTGTAATTCACATAACCACTCGAGTTACGAGATAATCCAGTCAACATAATTTGTAAGATGCATCCATCTTTGGAGGCTGGATCATTTCCCTTTGCCAAATGCAATGCATAAGCATTTGCTTGAGGAATTCATATATTTACAGAATTTTCAATGTTGAAATTCATATGAAATCGATGGTAAGTTCAATGGGTGACAGAACAGTTTCTAACATATGCTACCAGGGATAATAGAATAGCCAAAGCAGCAGTCAAAATGATGGAAACACTAAATGTTTTAGTTATTGGAAGTTCAACATGACAAGCATGTATGATAACATATTAGTGTTACCGAACAACAAATTTATTGGAGCCAAATACTATTTCATATATTTGCCCCCCTTATAATGTAAAGTGATGAGACTTGAGGTTGGATAGGGCAGACTATTTATAGTCCAGAATCTGATATCCAGCTTCTTTGTTTTAAAAATATAAAAAAAAAAAAAAAAAAACAGAAATGAAAGGTAACACATAATTCACTATGAGACACATTGAATCTAACGAGTGTTATAACTTAGCAGCCCGCACATGATTGATTTTGTTTCATGTACCTCAACTGCTGCCTTGCAAAACAGCACCATGCGCTTTAGAATATCCTGTTTCATTCAAAGGACAATAGTCAAAAGGAATGCGAAGTGTGCAAAAAATTATAACAGGGTGACTGAGCAACTAGTAGTGTACGAATGCAATATGAGTTGCCAGGAGAATAAAGATTAGAATAGCATATTATTTTGGTTATTACCCTCAGAATCAATAAAGAGAACACACGGTTCAGAAAGGGAAAAGGTGATCAGTGCACATATAACTTGTGACAAACAAAAAGTTTCTTATTATTGATCCTCAACAAAGAAAAAAGAGATGTTTGTTACGTTACCAGTCGGTTTCCTCCATAGATGTTATTCTCTAAATGGCGAAACTTAGGACTGTCAATAAACACAAAGTCTACACCATCAATATATGTCTGGAAATATCTTACTTCCATATCCTGAAAGTAAAAGTGTTGGAAGGTTAAATCACCATCAATTTCAATGTAATTTTTTTATTAAAAAATATGATACATACCTGACCATCTACTTTGTACCTTCTTAGTACTCCTGTATCTTGGGGTTCAGTATAATTACCGTAACGAGGAACCACAACCTAAGAAGATGTGTACAAAGAAATGAGAAAATGGACATCTCTTCCCAAAAAATCTTGACATACACAAAAGTAATATGAACGATTAAATCTTATTATGCATTGGTAATTTGATCTATATTATACGTTACTTAAACATTTGGTAGAGACAAAAATAATTTAAAGTTAACATAAAGCCCAAAGCTTCTTAGCTTCTATGAGAAGAGATATTAATATCAAATTTCAACATTCTAACATGTTTTGGGAAGATGAAATAACCAAAGGCAAAACCAGGAACAAACACCAAAAAGTAAGCAGAGTATGCTTCACCATCCACATGACATGAAGGTTCAACATTGAGTTAAAATATAGACTCTCATCCCCCGACATGATCTAAAACAAAAGAGCAGTTCATTAGGTAAAGGAATAAATTATTACCATAACACTCTATGCCCACGCCGTGCCAAAGCTTTTGGTAATGACCCAGCAACATCACCAAGTCCACCTACAATTTCATGCGCAAATCATTAGATTGCATAAACGAAAAAAGAGCA